GGCCTCAAGCTGAGGTTGCCATTGTTGTTGTTAAGAGCCGTTGAGTTAGTTCCGACCCATAGCGAACTTGTGTAGTGTTTCCAAGGAGCAGCTGGTGAGTTTGAACCACCGACCTTGTGGTTCAAACAGCTTTGCAGTCTGGCGCATTAACCCACAGCACCACACGAGGTGAGGACTCCAAGCTGAGGTAGTCCCTTCTTTATTTCCTTGAAAGAAACAATAGGACAGACCAAGATTTAATTTCACGTCTCTGAGAAGCTTTGCGATATTGATCAAGTTATCTAATCTACCAATGGAGCCCTGGGGGTGCAGTGATTAAGTGCTCAATTGCTCACTGAAAGGTCGTAGGTTTGAGTCCACCAGTCACTCCACAGGAGACAAGACCGAGTGATCTACTTCCACAAAGATTTCCAGCGTAAGAAACCTTATAATTCTACTTTGTTCTGTATGATTGCTATCAGTTGTAATCAACTTGACAGCACATAGCAAGAACATGTAATCTACCAGAGCCTCAGTTTCCTTACTTTGAAAAGTGAGTAATAAAAACACCTTTCTCATAGAGCTGAAAGGGTTCATTGGAACGATGTATTTAAAATATTTAGTTTAGGATTTGGCATAATCTTTAAAAAAAAATAGTATGTTTTCAATTGCTCTATGGGCTTCAGTTTCCTAATCTGGAAAAGAAAGTACAATAATAATACAAACTTGGTAACAATGTTGTGTTACTGTTATAAGAATCAATGCACTGCTGAAAGCAAAGAGGACTTGAAATACTTACTGCTGTTGGCAAAGAATATCGAACAAAAGAATCCATCTTGGAGGAAGTACAGTCAGAATGTTCTTTAGAAGCAATGATGGCGAGACGTTGTTTCTCCTACTTTGGACCTGGTGTCCCTGGGGAAGGACATCATGCATGGAAAAGTGGAGGGTCAGTGAAGAAGAGGAAGACCCTCAATGAGATGAAGCAACAATGAGCTCAAACAGAACAACAATTATGAGGATGAAACAGGACCGGGTCATGTTTCTTCTGTTGTACACAGGATCACAATGAACCAGAGCCAACGTGATGGCACCTAACAGCAACAACAGCAACAACAACAAGGCTATCAGAACCAAATGAGATATGGACAATTTCATTAAAAAACAAAACACCAAGCCAATTGTCACCGGGTTGATTCTGACTCAAGGGGACCGTATGTGCGTTAGAGTAAAACTGAGCTCCATAGGGTTTTCAGTGGTTGATTTTTTTTTTGGAAGCAAATCACCAGGCGTTTCTTCCAAAACGCCTTTTGTGGTGTTGTTGAGAAGTACTGTTGAGTCAGTTCAGATTCATAACAACCCTGTATTGGGCTTCCAAGGTGGTGGGTTTGCACTGCCAACCTTGTGGTTAGCAGTCCAGTGCTTATCTTATAGCACCACACCAGGACTCTAGGTATGCCTTTTGGTTAGCAGCTGTTTGCACCATATTTTATATTTCTTTGATTCTCTAAATCAGGTCATTCTGATCAAGATTCTTAACCATCTACCTTATGGGAAATTTTATTATAGTTGTGTTTGTGGATTTATTTCCATTCTTACCTTCCACCAATTTCAAGTCTTGCAAAAGTCTCTGTGAGTTTTGTATAGGAAAAAATCTGGGCCAAGGCTTCTGGTCTTTGGACCATGTTGGTTATATTACTATGTGCCTTGTTCACGCCTTGCTCAAGCTTGCACACACCCTGTGGGGTACTGCTCTGAGGTTCCCATGCCAGCTTGGAGACCAATGTGCACATTGTAACATGCCGGTAAAAAGCTTCTGCTCAGCTTCCTAAATACGAAAGGGCAAAAGTGACATAAAGGCCACATCTGACTTCCTCTGGCTTCATAAGGAGGAAGGAGAATCATACACAAAATCCACCCATGACTGATTCTAATGTGGCAGAAGTCAACCTCCTTTATCCTCTCGTGATACTATTTCTCCCACAGTAGTTTTACTTCTCTGCTGGGTTTGATAATCCATTGCAATGGCCACACAGAACTCACAGGCAGTATGATTATGGGTTTATTAGGAAAGTGAACAGGGTACAATTCAGGATCAGAAACAACTCAGGATGCAGCAGTTCTCCAGTAAGGAGCGGCTCTTTCTGCCGTACTGCAAACATGCTTGGCTCCTGTCTTCAGCCTCTCAGCCAAGTAGTCCCTTAGTCTCTGCCCTGCAGGTGTTACAAAATTCCTTTGTTGTTGTTGTTGTTGTTATGTGCTGTGGAGTTTGTTCTGACTCATAGTGACCCTGTACAGGTTTCTGAGGCTGTAAATCTTTACGGGAGCAGAAAGCCTCATCTTTTTCCCACGGAACAGCTGGTAGTTTTGAACTGCTGAATGTGAGATTAGCAGCCTGATTCGTAACCACTAAGCTACCAGAGCTCCTTTAGCACTGTAGGTAAATACCCAGAGGGCACATTCTGCGAGCCAGCCTCCTGCCTGTACCATTCAGTTGTACTCAGCCCACAGACTCCAGCTGCTGTTTCTCTGGGCCACTGCCTCTGCTGCTGCTGCTTTCTGAGGCAGTCACACTCTGCTCGTGGCTCTTCTTTCTTGATGGTCCTCGGACCTCTGTTCTTGCTTCCTAGATGGCTCTTTTGAAACCTAGCAGGATGGCAAAACGAACCATCCTTTCCATTAGAGTCCCAAGCATTCTATTTGCTTGATCCCACACAGTTATTTGATATGAGTTACAAAGACCATGCCAGAGGAGACATATTAAGTAAATTTACTGTTACCATACCATTAATATGGCCTTAGCAGCATACATTCTAACTCCACAAGATTTAGGAGTAGAGATGATAAGGAAATTGGGACTCCATCTGCTTTAACTTCCATCCCTTTGTTTAGCAAGTATATATTTGGTTACCTACGATGTGCCCAGTAGATGAACAAGATAGACACAGTGCTAGACTCATGGATCCTAAAGTTGTGAGACAGAGATCACAAAATAAGTATATATTTTTAAATGATTTAAAATGCAGTAAGTCCTCATTGTCTCTCCAGCTACAGCCTTAGCTTCGACGTCCATTGGAGAATGTTTTATTCTGAATCCTCCATTTCTGAGCCCATCTGTGTCATTTTCATCTACCACATCCTAAAGGTTGGTCAGCCTTGGGGACACCAGCTGCTCTGGGAGAATTTCCATGGCCACACACTTAGACCCTCCACATAGATTTAACAATCATAGTCACAGATGCTCCCCACACAACCTTGTCTAGCAAAAAAGGCTCAACTTGTCATTCTCTTGTATACTTGTTGTTTGGTGCCATTGAGTTGGTACCAACCCATAGCGGCCTTGTGCACAACAGAAGGAAACACTGCCCGATCCTGGGCCAACCTCACTACTGTTGCCACGTTTGAGTCCATCGATGCTGCTACTTTGCCGATCCATCTCGCTGGGGGTCTTCCTCTTTTTCTCTGACCCTCAAACTTACCAAACACAGCTGAAACCCAAAACTTTGCCTGTCCCTGTCAGAGCTCAGTTGGTGCCTCAGGGTGAACCTGTTTCAAAGATGACATAAGATTATCCTCCTTACAAACTCCACAACACCTGCACTGCTCCAAACTTGCTGATCTCCTTCCAAGGTATAGTGAATTGACAGGGACAAATCTCCCAGAACTCCTATCTCCAATTGTCCCCACTCGTGGTGTCTGACTGCCTTAGTGTCCATCTTCCGCCCTATATTATGGAGTACTGTACAGAGAAGGTTGTTGTTGCTAAGTACCATGGAGTCGGTTCCAACTCATAGTGACCCTGTACAGGGTTTCCAAGGCTATAAATCTTTACGGGAGCAGAACGTCTCATATTTTTCCCGCGGAACCGCTGGTAGTTTCGAACTGCTGACCTTGAGGTTGGCAGCCCGACTCGTAACCACTACGTTACCAGAGCTCCTTGCCAGCACTAAGATCACTTCCAGCAACAGCATTGATAGGAGGACAGTGGTCCTGGGAACTAGTCTCCCCTTGAAATCAGCCCTGAACACAGGAAATCCCTGACCCCAGACTACCTAGGCTGGGTCAGGGGAAAAAGAAAGCAATAGAGGTATTTTTTGGGTCCCTTAATTTAGATCAAACACCTTAAAACCAAAAAGCCAGGCCCATTACAGTCTAGTGCACTTTGACTTACAGTTACCCACGTGTTACAGAGTAGAAGTGCTCCATTGGCTTTCCTTGGCCGTAACCTTTACAGAAGCAGATTGTCAGAACTTTGTTCTGGGTTTGAACCATCAACTTTTTGATTTATCATTGTTGAATGCAAACTGTTGTGCCACCCACGGACCTCTTACCCCTTGTTACTGTTGGTGTGTGCGACTCAATCGCCAGCATGTATATGCAAGTGTATCCATGACAGTCTGTGCACGCTTACAGCAGTGTGATGCTCAGTACCAGTTCTCAAGGCGTCAGGTGTTCCCGACTCTTTGAAGTCAACCTCCCACCCCCCAGCTACTATACAACATATGCCCCTGAGCCCTGCAACTCAGAATTCAGACAGAATTCATCCTGGCCCACATCGGCTTTGCCTCCCCAACACTTCACCCCCATAAATGCTTAGCTAGGAGGCAAATACTTTATTGAAGTACACTTGAGGGGTACACTTGTGAACAATCCATACTGGGGTGCATTTAAAGGACATCTCAGATGAGAGGGCCCTGTGTGTGCTTGTGTGTTCACAAGTGTGTAGACACATTTGGAAGACATCTATGTGTCTAGTAGGTATATTGTTGTTAGTATATTGTGTGTTTATAGGTGCATGACTAAAAATGAATACGTTACATGGGTGTAATGTGTATCTATATATTTTTGGAGAATGGGAACTCCAAAGCATTTTTATATGGAATGTACACTCTTGGGACCAGTGCATGTGTGCGCAAATGATCATGTATATGTGTGCTGGCCAGTTGGGATTGAACATTTCTTGCTGGGCACCTACAGATCCAATTCAGTCTCATCTCTGTGACTTAGTAGGCAGAATTTCTGCAATCAGATTTCTCTACAACTCTGCATTCACTAGGAGATGAGGGTTCTGGCAAGGGGGAGGATATCACACTGGGCCGACCATACCCTCCTCACTCTTGGAAGTCCCCTCCCCAGCCTCTCCCTCATCATCAGCATCAGCATCCACCAGGCCCTCTGGTATGGGCCATTCTCGAGTCTCCCATTCCAGCCGTTCTATGCGGTAAGCGATCTTGAGTGCACTGGATTCCAGCTCAGCCAGGAGTCGAGCGAACTTGGTCTGCAGATCATCAAGCTGCTGGTCCAGGCCTCGCAGCCGAGATTCTGTGGCCTCCTGCAGGGCGATCTCAGCTGCCTCCGCATTCACATCCAGCTTGTTCATCTTGAGCAGGATCTCCCGGCCCTTCTCCTCCATGACAGTCTGGGCCTGTGGATACTCACTCAGCACCTCCCGCAGGTCCTCTTTACTCAGACAGAACAGGTCCGAATAACCCAGGCTCTTGATGTTGGCGGTGCGACGGTTCCCAGACATGTTCCCTGTGGTACATGGGCCCACAGAAGGAAGGAGAGTTAGTGGGAGTAGGGGAGGGGGGAGGGCAAGAGGGTGGCATTGTACTCCCAAACCAGAACCCCTAACTCCATCTGACCTCTCTTCCTACCTGACTAATCCTTTCATTTAATAATTTCCTGGTGGACAAGCCTTGTACTGGGCATCAGTAACCTGACTCTAAGAATTCCATCTAGAGGAAATAGACATTTAAAGGGAGAAGTACACAACCACACAGCTTGTGTAGACCTATGCATGGAGTGCTGTGGGGAAACAGGCAAAGAGCCTCTAGCAAGTTGGAAGGTAGAGGATCTTGGGAAAGCTCCCTGGGCTGCCTGAATTGAGTAGGAGGTAACTAGGGGAGGAGACGAAGGAGACTGGGGGAGAACAATCTAGGCAGATGGAGGAGCAGGAGCAGAGGACTAGATGTAAAAACAAGTTAGGTGGATGCAGAAACCAATAAGCAGTTCAGAGTGACTGAGGTGTAGGATATGAGAAGAACAGAGAGAGGAGGAGAGGGCAGGCCATGCTGGGTCTTGAAGCCATGGCAGAGTTCAGACTTTCTGCTGAGGACAGTGGGGAACTACTGCACTGTTTATCAGGGCAGCCATATGGTCTCATGTGTATCTTAGAAAGATTCTGGGAGATAGTTAAGTTGTTGTTGTTAAGTGCCATCGAGTCGATTCTGACCCATAGTGACCCTGTACAGGGTTTCTGAGGAGCAGCTGGTGAGCTTGAACCGCCAACCTTGCTGTTCAAACAGCTTTGCAGTTTGGTGCATTAACCCACAGCGCTGGACTCCAGATAGTGAAGTAGGTTGGGTGAAATGCTGCCAAGTCTTATGGTTAGAAATGTCCTCGGGAGTGGAAAGGAAAGCCATGGTTTATGGAGCATTTTCTATGTTTTTTAATATCATCTGCACATTCCTTCAGGTTCCTCATTCAGATGAGGAACCTGAAGCCTAATGTATTCTCTAAGCTCAACCAGACTGTGGCTGACTGTATGCAAGATGCTTGCAAAGTCTTTAGAAGACAGGAGGGACCTCTAGAATGAGCAAGTCCTGGGACATCTGCCTGTCCAGAACACAACCAGTCTCCATTTGAGAGCAGTGAGGGTGTGCACATCCCAATTCCAGGGAGGGAGACTTTTAAAAAAATTTTTAATTCTATAACCAGTTATAACAGCTCCTATCACATATGACTAATGGTAAGAATAAATAAATAAATGAAAATGGGGTCTGCTCAGTACTGATTTCAAGGAAGTGGGAATTCCCTGTTGTCTCCCTCCCTTTCCATTTGGCTGTGAGAAAGCTGTCCTTGTACTAGTCTCAAGTGTGTGACCCTTATTATATGTTAGCCTCCCAAGTTACCTGACCTTTCTCTGGACTTTGTTTTATTTTTCATTAAAATAGGGATAAGAAGAATACCTCCTTCATACAGTTGTGAAAATTTAATGAGTTGATGCATGTGAACCACTTTGAACAGGGTAGTAAGCATGCAATAAATATGAACTATTATTATAAGCACTGGACTGTGAACCACAAGGCTGGAAGTGGATTTGAACTTTCCGAGCTGCTCCTCGGAAACACTATACAGGGGCTCTGTGAGTCAGAACTGACTCGATGGCACTTAACAACAACAACAACAACAACAATGATTATTATGGGAGCCTTAGTGGCATAGTGGGGTACATGTTGGGCTGTTAACTACAGTGTCAGTGGTTCAAATCCACCAGTTATTCCTCGGAAGAGAGAAGAGAGTTTCTGTTCCTGTAAAGATTTGCAGCCTCTGAAACACCTACACAGGGTTGTTATGAGTCAGAACTGACTCGACAGCACAAAACAGTAACTTTATTATTACAGAGTTTCCTGGTGGCACAGATGGTTAGGTGTTCAACTCTTAGCACTTGCGTGGTCTTATGAACCTAGAAGTACTTCAGAAGACAGACTTGGAGATCTGCCCCCTAAAGGTTTCAAATTCAAAGAACCAAAATCATTACCATTGCGTCCATTGTGATGCGGAGCGACCCTGTATAGGGTTTCTGTCTAGGGCTGTGAGTCTTTATAAAAGCAGAACATCTCATCTTTCTCCTGGTGGGTTTGAACTGCTGCCTTTGTGGGTTAGCAGTCCAGTACTTATCTTACAAAAGGTCACAGCCTTGAAAACTCTATGGAGCAGTTCTACTCTGCACATCGGAGGTCACCATGAAGCAGAATCAACTCAATATCTGCTAACAATAACATTATTATTACGATGATCTCTGTCACTTTCCTCTGTTTTCTTGGTGTCCTGGGTCAATAACCACGGAACATATCCCCTTCTTCTTTTGAAGACTTTTTTACTCACTCACTTTGGCTCAGCTTCTTTTCAAGAAACAAACTCTCTATATCCTGTTTCTATGCTGAACCCTCTGATGATTCAGGAAGGGTTAGGTTTCTATGGGCCCTGAAGTACCATTTATTCCCAGCACTGTGTTCTTCTGTTCTCACCCTCCTCCCCCAGCCCTGTCCCCAGAACAAATGCTATGGTGCCCACCTTTAATGTTGATGATGCTGATCTCCCCAAAGTAGAGCCCTGCACCGAGCACAGCGTACTGAGTGACTCCGTCGTCTGCCACCACGGCCAGTTGACCCTCACGGATAATGTACATCTCTCGACCAATGTCTCCCTTACGGCAGACGTACTCGCCTGGGGAGTAGGTCTGTGGCTGCAGCTTCAACACCAGCTCCTCTAGCAGGCTGGCCTCACAGTTCTGGAAGATCTGAACCCGGCTCAGAGTGGACAGGTGTACGGATACAGCTACTTCTGCTCGTAGACGCTCGGGCAAGTGCTGTAAGATGGCTACCTCATTGGTCATCTTCTTGTTGATCTGCAGGTGCTGGTACCTGGAGGCGATGTAGTGTCAGCTTCTCACTAGCCACCCTCCTCCCCCGACCCCCACATGTCTGCCTCCGTCCCCATCCATCCTGGCTTAGCTTGAGTCAAAAGTCCAACCACACTGGGATCTCACAGAGGGCATAGAGGTACCGGCCCACAATCTCCTTTTCTAAAGGCAAGATATGTATTCGATGTCTTCTCGCTCCACTAGGGCACAGAAGCCTCTATGACTTGACAACAGATAAGATACCCTTTACTTCCGGACAGGCCCAGTGACATATCTTGTACCATGCTATTGATTGCTATTCAGTCACCAAGCTTCCTTCTCATCTAGAGCCCCTCTGCTATAGCCATTTTTATGACGCATTTTGGGGACCCTCAATATGCACTACCATGACCTAACCAACCATCTTTTTCTTGGCCGTTTTCGGGGCTTAGTGTTCTATTTCCATCCCTTTCTGAGCTCTACCAGGCAGTGGTGGTTCCCCATTCAAGGCACCATCTGGCTCTCCAGGCCTCTAGCTCATGAGTGTCTCTCCTTATCAGTCTCTTATCCACCTTCTCCCGTTGATCAAGGTCCCCTAGTGGAGAGCGTCCTTTCCTAAGCCCTGCCCCATGAGTGCCACAACTGGACCACCATGCAGTAAGAACCCAGCCACCTCCTTCAGGTTCTAGCACATAAACCCTTTCCAATCCTGGACTGGAACCCTAGTGTCCTCACCAGTCAATAACACGTCGCTCCAGCCTTCGGTTGACATGCTGCAGTTTCAAGTACTTCTTGACGAGTGCGTGGTCGGGATAGAAAGCTGCGTCCGCAGTATTCATGTTGTAGATGACAGAACTCATGCTGCCCATGATGGTGGCAAAGCCCATGACGGCCAGCAGGAAGTCGCCTACCATGAAAAGGTACTCCTCCTCCCTGGCTGGTAGTGGCGTGTCACCCACAGTAGTCAGGATTAGCGTGGAGAAGTAAAAACTGTAGAGGTATTGGCGTCGCAGGCGTTCAAATCCAGGCAGATTGGGATCTGGGTACACCCACGCGTCACGCCCAAAACCCAAGTACCGAGACAGGGCAAAGTACAAGCAGCTGTTCCAATGGATGACTACAAAAATGTAAATCATCAGTTTGGCAATGCGAAACGCGTTCGGATAAGCCGTGCGGGTCTCTGTGCGGTCGAAGGCTTCGAAGAGGCGAGGCACTCGCAGAAAGCGGTTCAGCCGCAGTGTGGGTATGTGCGGGCCCAGCTGCAAGTATCCCAAGTCTGTAGGCGCTAGAGAAACTAGGTCCAACAGGAAGCTCCATGTGCGGACATAGCGCCTGGAGATACTACTCCTGTCCACCACCAAGATGCCCTGTTCCAAGAATCCTGGGGGGCAGAAGGGGAAGATGGGCCAGGGTCACTCACAGAATGGGGGTCCTCTATGGCACTCTCCTGCTCCAGTAACTGACAGTAACATTGGCAGGCCATTGTAGGACAGGAAGATTACCAAGAGGACAGGGTGGGTGGAAAGGCATAGACTTGCTCCAGGATTTCTGAGATGAGCTTGGACACGTTGTCAAGCATAGAGGCATGTGGCAGTGGTGTTAGGAAAGGGATCAGTCTTGTAACTAAGAGGTTAAACAGGAAGGGAACAATGGTAAGTCCTTGAGCTTACTGACCCGTGTTGAAGCGCACCACGATGTCTAGTAGATATAGCAGGTCACTCATGTAATCTAGCACTAACCAGACCACCAGGTAACTGTGCTGTAAATCAGGAAAGCAGGCCCTGCAGAGTGAGGACAGAGGGGTTGACTTGAGTGTATCTTCTTTGTGGGAAGATGGGACAGTCTCCCCAGACCCCTCAGTTCTCTGCCTTGGGGAACCCCTCTTATGGACCCCACCCCTCCTTTGGCTGCTCCAAGGGCCTGCCCTTTACTTGGTTTCACTTTAACACCTTCTTAGCTCCTTAAAGCCCCTCCCTTAGTGCTCCAGCCAAACCTGCACACAATGATGACCAGGTTGTACATTACTGGGAAGACCATCGTGTTCAGCCACCAATAGTAGTGGTCCCCTGATGGGTCCAGAATAGGTATGGACTTTCTGTAGGATAAGAGGGAGGTCACACTTCATTAATTCACCAGATATTCAATGTTGTGGTTGTGACTAGAATATCAGGAGGAATCATGGCCTACCATCCAGTGAGGCAGACACGGGAGCTGGCACAGAGACCAAGACCTCTTACCTGGCTTTGGTAGAGGCCGGGGGGCTGGACTCTGTTGTCTTCACTTTGTTGTTCTGACTCATGGTTCTGTGGTGTGATGTTGGGGTGTGAAATAGCCAGGGGATCCAACTTTAGGCAGCTTCCGGAGGTGGGGGCTTGTGCCTGGCAGCCTGCAAGAGGCTTCGCTCAGCAACACCTTCAACTTCTCTGCCTTTGGCTTCTGAAGCTCTTAGCAACACAACTAGAACCAGCTAGGGAAGGGGTGGAGGCAGTGTGGTTCCAGCACCTAGCCTGGTCTCCCAGGACCTGGGCTGACACCTGCCTAGCTAAGCACCTCTAATGAGGTCCCTGGAGAAGGTGGAGGTGCATGCCTCATACGTAAAGCTGAGCCTTGTTTCTGTGAGATGTCCCATCCAATTTTTCCTCTTATCTGTTCCTCACCCATAAGCTGAAGTATAGAGGGGTCTTCTAGGTCAGTAGGTTTGAATTCAAGTGCAGGATCCAACATTAACTCTGTACCTTATGTAAGTTTCTTGCTTGGGCCTCATTATTTATTCATTTTAACAACTAACTACTTACTGAATGGTTCCTCTGTGTCAAGCGTTGAACTGGTCTCCAGGGGCAGAGATGCCTCTCACGTCAGATGTAAGTTGTATCTGTTTTCATGGTCTGTATCCTTATCTACATCTGTACCCATTCTTATTCCTTCCTGCTGATCCCAGGATGAGGGAGTGATTCTATGATGTCTTTGTTCCCATTCTCTTCCTATTTCCTCTAGTTCCTGAGCCCGCCAGATAGTCCATGTGTTTTCTGGATTCTCAACCTCTTTGAACACTTCCATTTCTGTGAAATGCTCAAATTGTTCCCATATCAAAACAATCCAACAAACCTAAAATTCTTTCAACATCATGTCCCTTTTACTACTATTGTCTCTTTCAGCCAAAAGCCATATTCGAAACACTCATTATGTGTCAAGCCAATGGTGTGCTAAGAACTGGGGATAAGAGATGAGTGAGGCATGGTCTCTGCTTTCCAAAAGCTCACAGTCTGGTATGGGAAACAATCAGGTAAACAAGCAATTAATTACATATCAGTCAAATGAGTGCTCTGTTAGGTGGATATTGTCGTTGCTGTTGTTAAGTGCTGTTGAGTTGGTTTCGACCCATAGCAACCCTATATAGGGTTTTCAAGGAGCGGAATAAAGGGCTATTACAATATATAAAGGAGCTCTGGTAGCGTAGTGGTTACAAATTAGGCTCCTAACCTTAAGGGTGGCAGTTTGAAACTACCAGCCGTTCCATGGGAGAAAGATGAGGCTTTCTGCTCCCGTAAAGATTTACAGTCTCAGAAACCCTGTACAGGGTCGCTATGAGTCGGAACTGACTCCATGGTACTTAACAACAACAACAATACATAAACCATCTGGATCAGCTCTACTCTGGCTATGAGTCAGAATCAGCTTGATGGCTTTGGTTTTGGTCTTGCTTTTAGTTAACACAATACATAGGGAGGGCCCCATCTAACCGGGCTTCTTCAGGATGAATAGAAAGTTAGGTAGCTACAGAGGAAGATGGTACGATGAAGAACACTTAAGGAGAGAGCACAAAGTGACCAGCTGCCGTAGAATTGATGCCGACTCATGGCAACCCCATGTGCTGTAGTGTAGAACTGCATTCTACAGAGGCCAAGGAGTAAAGATCAAGGCTGTGCCAAACCTTTTTTTACTAGGTGCTTCTGGGTGGCTTCAAACGGCCAGCTTTTTAGTTAGTTCTTGTTAAGTACTGTCGAGTCATTTCCAACCCATGGTGATGGTGGTGGTGATGTGCTATGGAGTCGGTTCTGACTAATAGCGACCCTGTACAGGGTTTTTGAGGCTGTAAATCTTTATGGGAGCAGAAAGCCTCATCGTTCACCCGCGGAACAGCTGGTAGTTTTGAACTGTTGACCTTGTGAACACAGCCTGATTTGTAACCACTACACTAGCAGAGCTCTCTCATAGAGACCCTTTATAGGGTTTCTTAGGAGCGGTTGGTAAGCTTGAACCACAGACCTTGTGGTTCAAACCAACCTTACAGTCCAGCGCATTAACCTGCAGCGCCACCCCAGAACTCCTTTTATTTAGTAGTGGAGTGCTTATCTGTTTGCACTCCCAGAGACTTTGTGCCAAGTATAGAGCATCAAAAAGCCTGGGTGACTAGGGGAACATGAACTGTTTTTCTTTTTTGAGGCTTGAAGGGGGAGTGGTGAGACAAAGGATGAATAATGAACAGGGTCCAGCTAGGGGAGAACTTTGTCAGACATGTTATAAAGCTTGGATTTCATCTGAAGGCAGTGGACAACCTGAAAATGTGTTGAAAAATTAAGTGATATGGCTACATTTATGGTTTTGGAGTTTTTCCTGAAGAAACATCTACAGTATCCAAACAGTTTATTTTATTTTTTGAAACACTTTTTTATTCCCCCTTGGCTTCTATGACACCATAATTCTTCATTTTCTGTTGATTTCTTCTTGACCGTAAGATCGGCAGTTAAAATCCACCATCCACTCCCCAGGAGAAAGATGAAGCTGTCTGCTCTTGGAAAGATTTACAATCTCAGCAACCCATAGGAGGAGTTCTGCTCTTCCCTATAGGGCCACCATGAATTAGAAATCCACTTGATGGCTGCGTGTTACACTCACTCTAGGTCCCTCAGTGGATTCCTTTTACATTGGTGATTCTAAGGACTCTGTCTTAGACCATCCTCTCTTTCCAGCTTGACTTTCTGACTGGCCAATCTCCAACACTCAGAGAATTTCCTTTCCTATCTAAGGACTCCCAATAACTTCTTCTGAGCTGCAGGCTCGTGTATACCATTAACTGCTCACTGGATGTTCCACCTGCACCTTCAACTCCCTGGTCTAAAACTGACCATTATCTCCCACTCCACTCACGTCTCCTCCTGTGACTACTATCTCTGACTTCTCAGCTAGAAAACCTAGCATCAATATTTATTATTATTATTGTATAACTTTGTGGCAAGTTTTTAAAAACACTTACAAATTCTTTGAAGCTTCTTTCTTGTAACTACATCAACCAATAGAACATATCAGATGGGATGTATGGCTTTTGAGCCATATGAGACCACACAATTTCCTTTAGGTTTTCTTGGAATGTTTATTGTCTGGAAGTTGCCTTTCAGGATGCTCCCTCTGGAACCTAGCTGCCATGTAGTGAGGAGCCTAAGTTACACATTTCTATGTACTAGTTGACAGTCCCAGCTGAGTTCAGCTTTAAAGCATCCCAGAGCAGGCATCAGACTTTAGAATGAAGCAGTCTCCAGATAATTCGGGTCATCGGCCTCAAGTAGTCTCCAGATGAGCTGACAATCATGGAGCAGAGACAAGTCATTCCTGTTGTAGCTTGTCTGAATTTCTGACCCAGAGTCTTGGAGCCTAATAACAGGGCTGTTGTTTTACATAAGAAATTTGGGGTGGTTTGTTATACAACATAGTAACCAGAAGAAATATACTGCAAAAATGGTGTGGGGGCCATGTCTGACTTCCTCTTCATAAGCAGGGAGGAGGAAATTTTTACAGTTTCTTATATTTCCTCTGGAGCTCTGGTGTGGCGCTGTGGGCTAATGCGTCAGACTGCAAAGTTGCTTGAGCCGCAAGGTCGTTGGTTCAGGCTCATCAGATGCTCCTTGGAAACCCTGTACAGGGTTGCTATGGGTCGGAATTGACTCGACGGCACTTAACAACAACTACAACATGTTTCTTCTACATGTTCCCAGGATCCAGACACACTGTGATGATTTGCCATTCCTAGAGTACCCCTCTCACCTGGTATATGCTGATCCATTGGGCTTTCCTTTTGTCATTTTCATTTCCTTTAAAAAAAAATTAAATAAGAATTACAAAATATATGTTATATGTTGTTTTTGTTAAGTGACATCGAGTTGGTTCCAACTCATACTGACTCTATATAGGGTTTCTGAGGAGCAGCTGGTGAGCTTGAACTGCCGACCTTGAGGTTCAAAACAACTTTGTAGCCCAGTGCGTTAACCCATACCACACCAGGATTCAGTCTCTCTCTACGTATATATGTAGTTGTTGTTAAGTGCCATGAAGTTGCTTCTGATACATAGGTTTCCAAGGAGAGGCTGGTGGATTTGAACCACCAGGACTCCCATATATATACCATCAAGAGCTCCTTATAAGTATAATTAATGCCATTAATTTGTACATGTAAAAAATGTTGAAACAGCTAATGTTTTGTTTTATATATGGAGTCCTGGTGTGGAACTGTGGGATCAGCACTGAACGGGTAACCACAAATTCAGTGGTTCAAACCTCCCAGCCTCAACTCAGAAACCCTATACAGGGTCGCTATGAGTTGGAACTTTCTCGACAATACTTAACAACAACATACATACAAATATACATGCATATTTTTGCTGTTGTTGTTAAGTGCCATTGAGTCAGTTTTGACTCATAGATACATATATAGGGTTTATGTGGAACAGCTGGTGGATTTGAACTGCCAAATTTGTAGTTAGCAGACCAGTGATTAGGAGCTCTGGTAGAGTAGTGGTTATGAGTCGGGCTGCTAACCTCAAGGTCAGCGGTTCCAAACTACCAGCTATTCCGCCGGAGAAAGATGAGGCTTTTTGCTCCCGTAAAGATTTACAGCCTTGGAAAACCTAGACAGGGTTGCTATGAGTTGGAACCGACTCCACAGCACATCACCACAATGACTAATGACACTGAGCATCTTGTCATGTGCTTGTTGGCCATTTGGTGAAATGTCTCCTCAGGCCTTTTGCCCAATTTTTTAATTGAATTTTTTTTTGCCTTTTTGCTGTTAAGTTGTAGGAGTTTTAAAAATATATACTGACTACTGGACTCCTAGGGAGCTCTGGTAGTGTAGTGATTATGAATCGGGCTGCTAACCTCAGGGTCAGCAGTTTGAAACTACCAGCTGTTCCATGGGAGAAAGATGAGGCTTTCTGCTCCCATTAAGATTTACAGCCTAGGAAACCCTGTACAGGGTCGCTATGAGTCAGAACCAACTCCATGGCACATAATCACCACCACCACTGG